TTTTTTTTTTTTTTTTTTTTTTTTTTTTTTTTTTTTAGTTAATTGAAACAGACCTTCAAATTAACCTATTAGAATAGGCATTCTTAGGACTTGTTAGTGCTCCTAAGTATAACTTTGTGATAGAGATACTTCAATCTACTAAACCAGAAATGCAATTTTTTCATATTTTATATTGTAAAAGTGGCACAACAGCATGCAACAAACTCTTAAATACTGGGGGGAGGGGGTGTTCTCTTCAAAACTATACTGCTTTGAGTAAGACATTTTGATGCTTTTATTGTGTAGAAAGTTCCGTTTTTTCTTTAACTGTAGTTGTGTGGGAATTCAGGGGAAACTGTTTTCCAAGTATCAGCTATGACTTTTTTCGTTTCAGCTATGACTTTTTCTTTGGGCGTTTTTTACGGTAGTAAATACTTACTGTCCCCTAGATGTATGAACCAGCAGAGTGATTAATGTAGAAGTAGCTGGACATATACAATTTAGAGCTAGCATAGCGTATTTGAATTCCTCTTCACATACAACATGATCTGTAGGGGGAAAAAAAGAGGATACAAATTGTTTTACAAAAATACTTTCAAATTAACAGAATTGCCACTTCCTTTTCTAAGAAAATAGTGAAGATGGATCAATCAAAAGTTGGCCCAAGATCTTCACTTTCTGCTTGAACCTTGGAAATCAGCTGGGTATGATTCTCCCCATCTATGCTATCTAACATGGATGGCTACTGTTTTAAATCCATATCATAGTTAAATGCTCCTCAGTGCTTGCTGATAGCATGAAAAGGAAATAGAAATTATTCTTTTATGTAATTCCCATATACCTGTGACAGTATTGAAGTGGCAATAAAAAGGGATAAGCACAAAATTTCTAACTGCTTGTCAGTGTAGAAACAAAGTCAGAGAGGTTTTGTAAACCATGAAGGCATTTAATACTAAGTCCGATTTTTCCCCTCTGAATTTGGTCTTTGGTTGTTTTGATGGTTTCAGAATTTGCTTCTAATCAGAAAGAATATTATAAGTAGTACAGCTGATGATCAAAAACATAGGCACATAAAAATTGCTGAGTAAAGGCAGGCAAACAACCTCCCCAGCTAGACCTGAACTATGCACATCTGCTTCTGGTTTCACCAACGTGTCACTGAAATCCTTAGAACCACCTTGCCTCTCTAAGCTGCTTTCCTGACAGAATTTCTAGTATAGCTATAAGCATGACACTTCCTGAAAATAAAAGTGAAGGCATATTGTGCCTACTCTGTTCCTTTTATTTTGAAATATCTAGAGGCTTTTCAATAACAGAATCATTTACTACTGAATTGAGTAATTAATTCTCCTATTTTCTGAAGATCAGGACCTATTTAAATGTCACAGGGAAGGGATGAATTTAGTTATATAAAGACACTGTCAAATGTAGGACAAAATGAGATTTTTCTTACTGTAAATATATTTCAGCTGTAGCAATTAAATATTTTCTGCAGAAAATGTTTCAGATAGAAATATGTTCTTTTAGTTGACCATATGCCATTAATAAATCTACTTGAATTTCAAACCAGAGAGGGTAAGGCATAGTCTGTGGCTTGAGTGGGATATCTGCAGTCCATTACCATTAGTGAGATGACAAAGATTTATGGAAGTATATACCAACTTCCTGACACTGAGAGAATTCTTGCTATTTTTTAATTTGTATAGGATTTTGCCAGATATCCTCCCTCTGTTTTTTTGTATGGAATGTTGTCATATTATAGCTAAGCATTTTGAAAATACAAGAAAGAAAAAATACACAGGGTAATGATTTCATCATCTGTTATTTCAGATCTTGTATTTGAACTCAAATGTACGTACTGGCCTAAATATATACAAATGGAAGTTAATAAATCACAGATGGCACAATGAAGATGAAAACTGTAACTTCCATCTCCAGATGCACTCTACTCCCTAATATATATGGTGAACTTTTTTGGCAGATGTTTATGTAAAATATAATCTTACCAAACAATACAGCGCACAGCAAACGGAGATTGCTGTCTTACAACAGCCCCTTAATCATGTCTGTAAGAGATTCACATGGCGTTGTCAAGTGTTTTCACATCAGGAGCCTTGGAGCTGGACTTGTGGACTATTTCTGCACCTGTTGGAGACTTTGACCTTCTGCAGGTAAGTTCTTGTATTAAACACAGATCAAAAGTGCTTTGCTCGTTTCTCCAATTATTTGACAGTTTATAGCTTTCCTATAACGTTATTCTATTTTCTGTGTATGCTCAGGACTGGTGCTGAGGAGGATTACACAGAACTTCATCTGCTGCACCTTTCAGAAGGCAGCAGGGAGGACGCTGGATGACAGCTCTCCAGCTCTCCCACTCCTCAGGTCTGGGACTTCGGCTGTGTCCCCTGACAGCAGGTACCAGAATCAGCAAATTACTCATCCTCTGTGACAGCGAGGCAGCCCAGGAAATTGCAGTTTGTCTTGAGGTGAATATTAAATATGTCAAATCAGCTTGCCAGAAAAAGCAGTATTTTGATTGAATTTATACTAAAGAAATTTAGTATAATACACGTAGAATTTCCATAAGTTGCTGTTTCTGTTGAAAATATATTTTGACAGAAGTTTTGTTCCTAAGTCTGTCTCAAATGGATGTAGTAATGCAATGGGGTGAGTTATGGTTTCTGTGATGTTACTGAGGAGAAAACAGACTCAAAATACTGATTTATGCCTGTAGCAGCAGCCATGTGGTAAGAATGACCTAGACCTAGTGTAATTATTCTTAGAAACCCTACTTTTGTCAATTTGATAAGTTAACATGACCACTACCAGATCTGATAGAGAAAAATGCCCGTCCATTATCTCTAGACTATTTTTATCTGTAATTGGACAGATTAATCATCTGCTGCATTCAATATCCATTTTGGTGAATCTGGACTATGTTTCTTTGAAATAAACTACTGAAGCTTTGATGTCAGACTTCAACAATCTGTGCTAATCCATGGGTGCCTTTTGAATAAATATAGAATGTCAAAATGTACCCCCATTTCCTGGAATTGTAATTATATATAATTTCCAAATATTCAAATTAAAGAATACATATACACACATATACATATACACAAAAATTATAAAAGTTTTAAGTTCAGCTCAGAAAATATTGAATTTAGTAGTCTCTGAATTGCATAAATATATTGCACCCTGTGGAAATCTTCACTTTATTTCTCATTTGTACTGAAATGCAAGGCCAGGAGCTTGCACCAAGGGTACATGGCCTTTTGTAGCCTTATGTGTTTGACAGAGAAGTGGGAAGATTAAGAATGTAACTGCCAGCATTATTGAAAGAAAAACTGGGCATGTCAAGGCATTTTTATATTGGAAATTACTAGGGAGAAATCAAACTATTTCAGCTTAAGAGATAAGGCAGCTGCCCATCTGATCACTGCCATGTTAAGTAGTGGCTGTGTATTTGAAGTGTTCACACCCTAAACTTGCAAAGGGCTTTGCTGGGATAAATATTTATGCCACTGTGGCAATGTAAGTATGTTAATATTTTAAACAAAGTAGTTAATATCTACTGTAAAAAATATCAGAAGGCAAAGAATGCAAGGATGTGTGTGGCATCAGGTGGAAAGTCAGGAAACCTGACTTTCTGACAGGTCATATGAGCCTGGCCAAGGTGCCTCCATTCTCTTGCTTCAAGGACAAAAATAAGTTCTCATTCTCTCATTAAAGACAGGGAGGATGTTTAAATCTTGTTTACAGAATGGGAATACATTATAAGAATTACTTTTCCCATATACCATTCCCTACTCCTATAGGAACATGCAGTCAGTGTCTGAATTTCAGGATTGCCTCATGCAATCTAGGAAGACTGGTCAACCTAAGAGAAGCTGCTGAGAAACAGTGCTTCTAGTGCTTTATGCATTTTTAATGTAGTTAAAAGTTAAACTTTAGTTAGGAGGACTATTTGGTTGTATTTCTTCTAAATTCAAACAATTCATTTTTTACAGCTCTAGTCCTTAAACCTGTGTGCAAAGAAAAAAAATTAAAAGGAAGAAGTAGAAATCCTATTACCGAATATTTCAGGTTTATAAAAATGCCCAGTATTGTTTTAGGAAACCTCTGGAAGAAAACAGTCTTTTTTTCAAGGAATATCAGATTTTAAAAATCTTTTACATTACGGCAGTAATAAAGCAGCTCTGAATCATAATAGGAAAAGCACTTAGAAAAATGTTCCAGATGGTTGCGACAAATTTCACTTGTAAACACTCTGGACAGGTCTGTAGTCTGCAGCCCCCACTGGGTACATGTTTCAGGATGATGAAGTGTTGGGTGACATTAATACCAAAGGGAGATCCTCTCAGGAAAATGTATGCCAAAAAATATTGTTCTGATGGTTCCAGCAGTGCTTAACCATTTGCAGTAGGTGAGCATCCAGTGGTGATGCTGAAGTTCAGTTGAAAGAAATTTTACCAAAGGAGGTTTTCTGGTATTTTAGTTGGTTTTTTTGTTTTGTTTTGTTATTTTTTAAATATGGTCCAAATTCTATAACACTTCAAAAAGACGTGAAAAATTGCCTCTTTTAAAGTCTAGTTGTATATAAGCTCCTACAGAGACAAGCCATTAGGAATAATGAAACTCTCTTAAAAGCACAATTTGGAAGAACAAATGAACATAGTTACTGATAAAGGAAAGCGGCCATGGCAAAGGGAGAAGGGATTATGTTTGTGCTGGGTGGTTTTAAGAGGGAGATGAAAAAGTACCATCATTCTCATCACAGCATGAGCATTATTCCCCTCTGTGCCATCTCATAGCTTGAGATTTCACTTTTATAACTTCAGAACTGCTACTGATGGGGTTTTTTCTTCTTTCTAACCCAGTGGTAAATTCCGTAGCTTTTAAAATTACAGCTTTAACTGTTGCTCTGGAGCCCTTCTGCTGGAATTTACTTTTTCATCACGTTCTGGGATGATGGAAGAGACTAATATTTTTCCATAGAGTTGGTTTTATTTTTGCATGAATCAGCAATCTTTTCTTCCTTGGAATATCATTCAAGAAAATTGAATTTTCAAAATTGCAGCTGAAAAGGAAAGCTTCTCTTCTATTTCAGAACTATTTCTCCAAAAGTATTTGTGTGTTTTTGCACATGAGCATATGCACATCTATATACTTACATATGTGACTTTTTGGATATAGACAGAAAGAAAGAGAAACATATAATGCAGAGAAATAGTTTGTCAAATAAAAGTTCGTAATCTCGTCTTATAGGAGTGGATTTTCTCAGATTTCTTAACATCATTTTGCATTTTATGCCATGGTTTCTAAGGCATGCATTTTACTAGATATAGAATTAAATAATATGTCTCTTTCCAAAATATTTGCAAGTAATTAAAATCATATTTTCCATACCACTTGGTAAAAAACAATCCAATGACAAGACTTTTACCTCAATCATTTGTTGGACTAAGTCTGAATAGATCTTCTTATACACTCCTTAGTAACTATGTTTTAGTGGACAGAAATGAATTACAGCCATAGGTACAGTAAGATGGAGACTTACCTGGATCTGGAATAAAGGAGTAGTTATACAGCAAATAATCAAGCTCTCTATATTATGTAGCATAAGACTATTAATTCCTAAAAGTACTTGTAAGTAAGTCTTTACCCTTGCTAGGATGTGTACTATTTTACAAAACTGCACAGTTTCTAAGTAGTAAATATGCCCAGGGATTCTTACTTTGCTTGTGTTCATTAAACACTATTGAGTGCTTCAAAAGACTGCAATCTTACCTGCAAACTTGATGTGGAATTTGTTCTCAGGCTTCAGTATCTGAACATACAAAGGACAATTTGGAGCAAAGTCTTTAACTGCCCATGCTCTTAAAATGGTTTGGTGATCCTAGAAGAAAGAGTACGAGGGGGTGCCAATGAAATACAAACAACCATGTCAGATTAGAAAAGGAATCTATTATCAGACTTGCTCCATTGAAGAAAACTCATTTTAAGACCCTGTGGCACCAGCTGGTATGAATGTTTATGTGCAAGTTATATAATTACTACTACTTATTAATTTCTAGGAATTTTCCACTAAATAAGGATTTTAAACCTCTCCTATCTTTCTGCAAATGCTAATGATTGTGTTATTTGGAAAAGTGTAGCATTTGGATATGGAATTATTGTGTGAAAACTTAAGATGGCAGTGATTAGTCATGTCCAATTAATCAAGAATTATGTAGCACAGACGTTCTTCCAAAGAGACTCGTAATTAAAATAGCATTAAATGACAACACCAGGAACTGAGAGTTTAAAATTGTGGGTAATTCTAAAAATATAAGTTTCATTAAAAGCAGATCTGAATTTTTGTGGAACTAAAACATTTGCACAACTGATGTCAGGATGTAGCCAGCTATTAACCAAAGATTCCAAGAGATTTTTCAGGCTGTTTTTGTTCTTGTTACCACATGACCAGAAGGAGTTAACTGCAAGGATGAGTGCTGGTATCCATAAAAGTCATCTATGTGACAATGCATTCATATTTTGAATTTTGTGAAGTAAGACTAATTCCAGTTTATCATCCATCGTTTTTTGTTTATTTCAAAACAAAAAGAAATAAAGAGCTATATGTATGAAGCCATGCCTAGATTGAAATGCCTTGCCTAGTCATGAAACTGGTGATATTTAAAGTTAAAATATAAAGAATGGTTCATTACATTTGCAGCATCAGCAGTAAGAAAAGGTTTCAGATTCCTGAACACAAGGGAAAATCTGCCTGGAACAGAGTGAAATTGACATTTTCAAACTATAATATTTTACTATCAATTGAGATGTTAGCAAGTACTTTTTCTACTAGAAAAACTAAAATGGAGTCATAAGAGGATGGCAAAATATCTGATTTCACATTTTTCTTACCAGTAGTTTCATAGGAGTAGGATTGTTCTGCCCAGTCAGGAGATTTAAAAGCTTGGGTTTAACCTGCTGTAGGTTTTCCTTGTATGCAGCCACATTTTTTTTTTTTTTTACTTTTCCATAGCATATGGCAAATTACCCTCCTCAGGATTTTTTTTTTTGTGTGTGTGTGTGCGCTGTTGGGGTTTTTTCTGTTTTTCTTAAGGTAATGTCACACCAACACAGCTTAGAAGCAGCAAATGACTGGGTAATATGCTACATGGTTGTCACATAGCTATGTTACATGCCTAGAAATCTCTATGTTAGATATTTTATTGGATTTTTTAATTATATTTTTAAAGTCTGGTTTTATCATAATATGCAATGTTTGTTAAATATAAGAATGAAGATCTCATTATAAAATGATTCAAATTACACTATTTTGTTAAAAATTCAAACAAGCCATACCAATTCAGGGGATATGCACTGTTCATCTAATGACCTTGCATTATTGTTTCTTTTTTTCTCTTTCCATTTGGTCTATCTATATGTTTGTGTACAAAAGCTTGTTATTTGGTTCCCAAGTTTTTTGCTCAGTTATTCTCCCAAATTCCACCCTGAAGAAGCACTCCAGGGAAGAGAAAGTAAAATACAGGTAGGCATCTTAAGTGATTTCTTATATTCAGCCTCTTCATATAGTATTGTGGCTCTGTATTTTAAAAATGTAGCAATTTCTATGCTATATTGCAGTCACTTTAAAAAATGTTCACCTTTCTCCCAATATATGGTATATATGTACACACAACAAACAGAGGTACCTGAAACAAAATTATGCTTCTGTTTCCATTTGTTTCTTTGGAAGGTGAGTGAAAAATATATTCCCTTCTATGTGACCTCCACACAATGAACTGCAGTCAGTGATCAAAAAATTACCATAGATACAAATGGTGATTAATACAGAGGCGATATTTAAGTTCACATATGAAAAGCTGCAAGTTTTAAAGTGGGTGTATTTAAATCATAAGAACTCAAGGAAATGCATTTAATATGTATTTTAAAGTGATTCTGTTAATTGAATCTCTTTTTTGCCAAACATAACTTGATATATTAGTTATATCCAGCCACGTTTGCATCCATATTGTGATGCTATTAAGGCACTGTATTTTAGATTACAAGTACAGTAGAGTCACACAATTTGATTAATGAAAGGAAAAAAAAAAAAAGGGTGCAAGCTTGAATTGGACCATCTCTGAATTTTCCAAAAGTCTCAGAACAAAGCTCTCAGCAACAGCAGAAGTGTTGTCACTAGAAATTATTAACTAACAAAATAGCAAGCAATGAATAGCCAGGGGTTTCCATAGCAAATGAGTAAATCTGCTTGAGCACTGTAGCTGAGGGGTAAAAAACCTCACGGGCTTCAAAAAATCACTTGAGTAACAACAGCTCTTCTGGTCAGGAATCTCTTCCTTTTATTTTGACAGCTGTCATGCACAGGAGAGGATCCAAGGCTCTTTTAGCAGTTTGTCAGCTTCTCAACAACAGCAGGGTGGAAAATCAGTTGTACTTATAAAGATTGTTACTGGGATGACAGCTGAACTTCCTTCAGCCCTGTGACAAACCAACCTTCTGTACACTAACATGAGGCTGGAGCAGTGGAGGAAATCCAATAAATTTCATTTCACAGCCCTAGGGGGCAGCAAGACAAAATCATTTTTAAAAAATTTAAGAATTTTCTATTTGCAGTATAATAATTGCATTCTTTGTGAAAAGGTAATCTGACAGCAAAAGACATAACAAGGCAGAGAGGTGACACTGTTTCAAAGTTTCGGATTCCACTGACCCTGAGATATCACTGTGGCCCAGGGGAAGGGACCAGGAGTCTTTGGTGAGATGTGCCTGTCTGTGTGCTCCAGGTACAAAGAGAAATGAGATTTGACAGGTCTGTAGTGGCAGCTGAAGTGTGCCAGGTGATGTTTCTGCTGTTTCCTGAGGGCAGACAGGAAGAGCTGCAGTGGCCCATGGCTCCAGAGCCAAACCTGCAGCATGCTGGCCACAATGGATGGGAGCTCTGGGAGCTCCATGCAGAGCCCACTGCTGCCCTACAGCACAGTCCAGCAGAGCTGAGAATTGTCTCTTCTTTGCATAAAATCTAAAGCAGTTATGAGCAGAGATGAACAGCTGACTGGTAGTGTTGCTGTCCTTAATGCTGCATAAACCTTCCCAGTGCAGTGTAAATCACACACTCTGATTTTATGGGATTTCTCATTTGTAACCATGGCACAACTCTCAAGTGCATTATGTGAAATGAGATGTTGTAGCTGATTTATTCTGAATTCATGGCTGATTTAGATAAGACAGTTGGGCTATTTTTGAATTTCTCAGTCTCCTAGAAGTCACAGGTACTTTTCAAGGTATTTCCAAGAACTCTTGCTTGTTCTTAATTTCAAATATCCCAGACCCTTTGTCACTCCCAAGCAGTAGGTCTGCCTTGCTTGACTGCTCTGGGATTACTTACTGCCAGTTCCGTGCCTTTCACTGCTGTATTTTCAGGAGTCTATTGCTGATTAATCAAATTCAAAGTCCTTAGGTCAGTAAGTTTAAATGTTATAGCAGGAGCACAGGTTTATGTCTCAGGGAACTCAGTGAATTTCTGCAAGGGATGGGTCCAGAACAGGATCTTTAGCTAAGCTCTTTTAACTAAGTTCTGATGCCAGATAAACTAGTAAGTGATAGAAAATATATTAAGTAATGCTACAGATACAATGGAGAGATCTCATTTCCCATTTTTTAACTATATCTCTTTTCAACATTTAGGAAAATAATTGCTATTTCTTACAATGTAGACGAAAACAGTATTTTTAGTTGAGATTGCTTAAAACATAATTACTGAATTATAAATACTGGTTCTGTCTTGTTAGGTAATTCATAAGCATCTTCAGGGATATTCAGACTTAATACTGAACCCCTTTGGAGTTCAAGATTGAACTGAATGAGGAAAGACTGCAAGAATTTACTGTAGTGCACATGGTGAAAGATTTCAAGTTATGTTCATAAATCCATCCTAAGTGGAATGTTGTTCCGGATATCTGTGATCAGTAGATAATGTCATTAGCTGGAAGACTTCTAGTTCATGCAGTTTTATTCTTTTATCAAAGAGGCACTGCACAGAAGTTTGTATTAGCTGTGTTCATTTGTGGACAGTAACTTACCTGATTGCAAATAACAACCAGCATGGGCAAACCCATATAAACATATTTAAAGAATCTTGCCTTTTTTTTTTTTTTTTTTTTTTATTGGCCAATATGAAAGAAAAGTTGTCAAATAGTCTCATATATAGTGGTTACTTGTATTAGTCACAAATTTATTTATAAAGTTGAGTTCAGGCTTTACTTCAATAATTGAGTATACTAGTCAGTCAAAGTCTCTTTTCTGATTTAATAAATACAACTGATTAAACTGAATATCTACAGCAGTTCAAGTACTTTGAATATTGACAAAGTACCATTCTTGGAAGTGATTAATGACCAGTTATCAATGTATCTATGTATCTACTATGAAGGTACTTTTATGCTATTCTGCCCTTGTTGCATAAAAAAGAGCTGAGAGGGGAGTAAGGGCAGTAAAACCTGTCCATCCTCTCATTTTTCCTTCCCCAACTTACAGCTGCTGTCCTGTCCACCTCACAGCGGCTGCTCAGGATGAAACAGGCTTCAGCATTGTCCATCCTGGAAGAGAGGAGACAAAGCTGTCACAGCTCAAGCAGGTACTCGTGTCTCACAGTCAGAGTCTTGCACAGAGAAACAGAACACAAATTTGAGTCTGTTCTCAGCTCTTACACTGGTGACAGTAAAAGCTGTGTCCAAGTAGTAAAAGCAGAGTGGCCTCAAACTTAATTTGCGAAGCATTTATCTGTCATGAATATGGAAGGTGAATAAACAGCACCATTCTGCCTGGTGTGTTAAGAGTGCAATATGCACAAGTTATTAGTGGTAAGAATAAACAAGAAGGGGCAGCTAATAGACTTGTCTTGCCTAGTGAGAGCAGAAAGTTCAGTAGATGTACACGAATAGTGTGTTTGGCATAAATAACAGCCATTTCTGTGTACATATGCATTAAATTAACTATTCTAGTTCACTATGTCTTTGATTAGAAGAAATCATGGGAGCTCTATGAGTAATTTCAGCTGAGCAAAGGAGTAGTCCTGGGAAGACAGGGTCTTTACCAAAGTTACAGGAAAAACTGCAATAAAATTAGATTTTTTTGCAAAAATGTAGTCTTGTTAATTGGCTGTTCAGTACTGATGCAGTCACCCAACTGTTGGTATTCCTCTACTTTTTGGTGTTACCTTTATCATGTTATTTTGACATTGGTTCACATATAAAATACAGATACATTTTGATAATGAGACCCTTCTTGATTATTTTGTTGTTGTTGGTAAACATAACTTTATTTATTAGAAGAATTTTATCATGTGCCTTGTAAGCTCCTCAGTACATTATGTTCTCATTAAAAAGAAATACACCAAACGTCTCGGGTACTGGGTACTTGGTTCTATTAAATTCCCACTATGCTTCTTCCCTCAGGAGAGGTTGAAAATTATTCTGTGACAGGTACATTCAATTACATGTTCTGCAGGAAAAAGCACAGTTCCACAGCTGACTACCTCCAGGTTATTATAAGTGAAATTCAAGATTATATTTAGGGAACAGCCTAATTTTAATTCTTGTAATGTTTAGAACTAATGTCAGCTAAATCCTCATATAAATTCCTTCTTGAAATCAGCAAGAAAGCAGAAAGAAAAAAAAGAAAGATCTCTCCAAAAGAAAATTTTTAATCCTGAACAAAGCTTTCTTGTCTTGTCAAATTTTAAAAACTGTTTTTTCAGTGGCAGAAGTCTGAGAAGGTAAATGAAGCCTCTCACAGATGAGATTCTTAGGAATAACTCCCCTCAGGTAAAGAATGACACAAATAGCCAGACAAATAATGGCTTAATTTTAGTTATCTACAACACAGAGCAATGCAGATGAGTTAAATCAGTTATTTGCTAAGAATCACCTTTCCCTCTCTTTGGAGTGTTTAAAGAGATGACCCTTCTGCATGAATTCCACTGTGAATTCCTTTGCAGCTCAACTGATTGAGCCTCACTGGTGTGTGTGAGGAACTGTACTTGACTGATGTGTTTTGATAAATGTCATTCACTATTAATTGGCAGAGAGCATCTCTTAGAAGTGGTGGAAGTATGTGGTAAGAGGAGGGCCCTGAAGAGTTCAGGTATGCATAGAGGAACAGCTGCTTAAAAACTGGCTGAACTTAAAAAAACAAAACTGTACATTGGGTTCAAAATTTCAGATATTAAGGAAAACAAGTTCTATCAAAGGGCTTTGCTTTGCCTTCTAAATAAACATGGCTTTCCTTCTAGCACAGCTTTTTTTGCTTGTTAAAGTTATTTATCAAACAGTATGAATGAAATAGTAAAAAAGAATGGTCAATATTTGCCTACTTAGCTCTCAATAGGTCTTGATCTTTTAGGGCTGAGCCTTGCAGGTAGATAACTCTTTGGGACCACATTGGGATTTGTAACACCCTTCGGACCTGAGCATCCATCTCCGTAGGACACAA